CTGCTAGGTTGTCGGCTCCAGAGAAGTCCGACTTTGCGGTGCATGCCCTGGGGGCATATTTCGAGGGGGACTGATTTTGCATGCCTTGTCTTTCCTTGTCCATGGAAGCGGGAGGAAAAACAAATAGCTGTTGGATTGCATACTACAGTTGAAATTAGACTTTGAAGGTGCGTGCCCTGAGGGGAATGATACAAGCGGGCGTATATCTAACGTTCGGACAGACGCTCAGGCCTACACCAATCGTTAACAATTCGTATTCATGAACGTTTCAGTCTCTCTGACCGTGAATCCTGCTGCATTGCCTGAGGCGCGAGGCATTTTCGCCTATTCCCTTCCAGGTCATAAGATAGGTGGAAGGACAAGGATTGCTGGGTAACGGTTCCCTTGCGGATGGGAATGAGTTATATATTCAGTAGTTTTCTAGCAGGGAAACAGGTAGGAAGAGTTTCCCTACACGTTGCGATTTGAAATGACTATGCCCAATGGGGCATATTCTATGGGGAGAGCACAAGCGATCGCGCTGAGCGCAGGCGTCTGTCGTGTGCGCTCGCATACCACGAACCACCCTCCCCCCCCCCCCCCCCCCCCACCAACACGGACCACAGTAGATTTCATTGTATAGATGACATTGTCCAAGTAGCACATAAACGCTTTCAAGGACGTTCTCACATGTTATCAAAGAGGTCTTTCGACATCCAGTATACCGGAATGAGCACCTTTTTGGCGCTCAGTTGAGGTGAATTTTAATCACAAAAACGTTGCATTTGAAGGACATTCTTCGAACGTTGATGATATTCTCCGAATGTAATTGAAATGATGTAGAGAACGTAGAAAAAAAACGTGAATTGTACATCGAATGAATCCTAAAAAATAGTTTTATTGAACCCTTTCCATGGAAATACCAAATTCACGTAGTTCAGGGAACTCGTCAATTGAACTGTTTTTCATTGTATAACAATTTAATTGTTAACATGTAAGCTGTCAATAGAACGTTCCCATGGACGTTAATGGACCGCTGGGAATAACGTGAATGAAACGTTCATTGAACACGTTCGGGTACTACTGGGATGGTAGTCTCTGAACATCCTTGGTGACTCCTTCCACATCAGAACATTTCGTTTCCACCAATTTGCAGCACGCTTACGTGCCACTAGTGTTATGAAACCCTCGCCTGTTGTCCTGCCTTTTCCAAATCTCCCTGAAAAGGCAAGGAGTCCATGCATGGGTAAATGGAGCAGGTCCATTTCCTAGCTATACTGGAATAGTCCCAATCGAATTCTACTGGAACGACAGTCCCAAGAGAAAAAAAGGGAAGAAGGAAAGCCCTTGGACCGTATCACTCGGCGAATCGTGTGAGCATATGATGGAACAAGAGAAGGCCCTGGCTTAGATTTGCCATGAATTTCATGAACGCCAACCTTGAATTTCTCTTTCTACACTGCGCGGCAAAGTGCTAATAGGAGAGTATCGGCATTTAAAGCTTTCATAGCATGGCAAAGAATGTCATCGGATGTACTTCTCACGCGTAATGAGTTCAATCTCATGAGGAACATCTCCGCTTTAACCAGTTTTCGAGAGGCACAGCCGCGGGGGTTTTAGGATAGGAAGCATAAAACTGAACAAGGCATAGACAGACGTTCGAACGTATCTTCGCATTCAATTTTAACATTGAGGCACCTATAGTTGACAGGATACAAAATAGGTGGCATTGCATTTAGGACCCCACTGTTATATTTCTCTAGAGGAATCCAGAGGAATCGTGATTGCAGCTACCTCTGTTGCAGCGATTTCGGTCGTGGCACTGGTAGCGGGTTCAATTTCCTACTACTGTATGAGAAAGCAGAAAGTAAGTCACACATGAGGAGTTGAATATGGTCTTTATCTTTTTCTATGGTATGGACTTCCTTTTCGTGAAATTTGCAGGCCCTAATCATCGCATTGTCCAAGGAAGAGACAGAGCGTTTCCTGAAAGGTAGACCAGATAGCTTGAATCCAACGATGGGGCTCAGAGAGCAAGCACATCTGCTGCCATTTGAGGAGCACTGGGACTTCCCTCCTGAGAAGCTCAAACTCGGTAAGGACCCAAACCCCAAAACTGGAATGTCTCTTTGGAAGAATGTCCATGGTAGATTCCAATGCAATAGGAGAAGTACTCGGCTGTGGTGCATTCGGTTACGTATTGAAGGCCATGGCAGTTGGGATCTGTCCTCCGGAGCCTGAAACGTTGGTGGCCGTGAAGAAAAGGAAGCCCCACTCCAGTCTGGATATTTATCATATGCATTTGATGGAGGTGAAAATCATGAGTCATCTCGGAATGCACTTGAATGTTGTGAATTTCCTTGGAGCATGTACCAAAGATTTGGCACATGGTAAGTACCTCTGTCATATTGTTCAGTGTTCTTCAATGGCGTGCGAGTTCGGCAAGGCCATTTTACATTATGAGGTAGTGAAAGGGAGAGATGAAAGGGAGAGGGAAAACTTCTTCTCTCGACGATGAAGCAGCTTATTTTGCACTCATGCGTAGGATCGGCGAGATCTTGAAGCAGGTATTGCTCTTCCTAGACTTTAACATGCCAAAAATAGATTGGTCGGTGCCGCAAGGGGGGTGCGAAAGGGATAGGGAATTTCCCGTTGCGGTTCAGGACGCTCTTCTCGTTCAGTACGTAAATGAACCGACTCGCGAGGAAGCTTTATTGGATTTAGTTTTAGCGACGAACGACGATCTGGCACGAGACGTTAAGGTGCGAGATAACTTGGGAGATTCGGATCACTGCGCGATCACGTGGAATATCAAGCGGACGAAGAGTAACGCAAAACCATTCGTACAACTATAAGAAGGCTAATTTCGAGAGACTACGTGAATGCGTTTCAGGCATCGACTGGGAGGTGCGGCTCCGTGGGTTGACGGTAGAGGAGCATTGGGGGGCGTTCAAGACGTTATTGCAGGGTTTTATGGAGGAATGCATCCCCAATAAATCCATAAAATCGGGCAGGGAACCGGTCTGGTTTACGGGTTAAATCAAAGCTCTCATTAAGGACAAAAAGCGGAAATGGGATGCGTACAAGCGGACGGGAGATAGCACGGAC